TACTTAAAGGGGGCTTATAAGAAAGATGGCGGCAAACTTTTTAGCAGGGCCTGTTGCGACAGGACAAGGGGGAATGGCTTTAAAGTAAAGGGGGGTAGATTTAGACTAGATATAAAGAAGAAATTTTTGACGCTGAGGATGGTGAAACACTGGAACAGGTTGTCCAAAGAGGCAGTAGATGCCCCATCCTTGGAAACATTCAAGCTCAGGTTGGATGGGCCTCTGAGCAACCTGATCTATTTGAGAATGTCCCTGCTTATTGCCCGGGGGTTGGACTAGATGACCTTTAAGCGTCCCTTCCAACCCAAACTATTCTATGATTCTATGATCCAACACTGCTGCTAAAGAAGCCGTGTTTTGTGCTACCCTATACAGTCAAGAGGAAAGGTGGCATAGAAACAGAGATGGCTAGGACACAAATGCTTTAACCACACAGTCTGAAAATAGCAGCAGAGTTGCAATTTAAACTCTCGGTTCTCTTGTTTATGTTTGTAAAATACCTGGAGCTATTATAACAGATTTTCCACAGTGACATTTAGCTTGTTCTTTTCTAATTTGAATTTACCTAGTTTTTCTAATTTGAGTAGGCCTAGAACTCTTACAGGAACAGCTTAACCCAATCAAAGAGCAAACAGTAAAACACACTTTTACTGCTACACCATCCAAACACAGCAGCAATGCGCAAAGCAAACCATATCGAAATGTGGAGAACAGTGGGTTTTTTGTAACAGCAATCAAACAGGCGACTACAGCTAGGTGAAGTTCTTGGAGCACAGAGAATGTGCGGCTGGCAGTGCTGGTCCCACAGAGGGAGGCAGAATAGGCAGCGAAGGGAAAGCGGAATCTAGTCACTAGCATCTGGTCTTCATTTTAGTGGGTCTAGCATTTGGGTAAGCACAGTTGTATAAATAAAACTTCACTCCAAATGAAAATGCACTAGTAAGAACATTGCTAAGAAGTTTTTAAGTATTCTTTAGCTACTCTCGTAATTTATTAAAGGCAATGAAAATTAGAACTGTTCGAAAAGCCTCTCCTGCATAGAATTACAAGTGGTTAAACAACCTATGCGAGCATCTCAACTGAAAATTTAAACTGAAATGAGTTTAAGCCATTTTCCTTGACGCTTTCCATCCAATGGTGACAACCTTACTATGAAACCTGTCTAGCAACATCAAGATGGAAGTGAGATTGGTGATTTGTAAGGTTAATACACCAGAATATTTAAAAGCTAACTTTTTCTTTCTTTTAGACTGTCTCTCGTGAGTTTTAAGGAGACCGCTCTTCATATACAATTTCCATCTTACCTGCAAGTACAGTTTGTTATCTTTCGTAATTGCATCCATGAGGTCTTTTTGTAGGGGAGGGTCTCCATTTACCCAGAGTCCATTTGCCGAATTGGTGTTGAAGCCACAGGTGCTATTTTGTTTTTTGTAAAACAGAACATAAGCAGTGTCCTTTGGAAATCTACTGGTAATTTTCTGGACTGACTGAAATGAGGTAAATGTCACTCTGCTGTCATTGAACAGAAACCATTCTCTTGGCATCTCAGTGTCCAGCTCATTTTCTACAACAGTACAAGGACTCTCCTCTGTCAATAACTTATCCTGAGGAGAAACTAAAGAAAGAGCTGTAGACTGGTGGCAGAGTCCTGAAGGCCCTGACCCAGTAACATTTCTAGCATATGAATAATAATGTCCACTTTCAGAGGATACACCAGAATGCACCACCACAGAGCTTAACACGTATGGCACCAACTGTGGGCAGGTCACTTCATCAGCACCCGAGGGCTTCAGTTTTTTAGCAAGATTTTCTCCAATATCAGAAATCTCAACACCAACAGACCAACCTCCCGAAACTACAGCTAGAGAGGATGTTGCTCTTTTGACTGGCAGTTCCAAAACAAGTGGCAGAGACACATTGTCCAAGATTTTGCGCCTTATATGACACTTTGGATCATATGAAAATCTCAAAAGAGTGAGAATGAGGTATTCGGGTTCCTCAATGATTTGCATAGTTTTCTCAGCATTCTGTAGAGAGGCACACTTCTCACAATAATACTTATTGTCTCCACTGAGGATCTCAGGTGCCAGAAAATAATTCAATAAGTCTGTAACTGACAGGGTGTTTTTACCTACTAGCCTCTGAGACATATCTCTATTATCTTGAACTTTGTTGAGTTCAGAATTTGTGGTATTCTCAGAGTTTGGCTCAGTAGAAAAATCTTTTATGGTTCCTTCATTCATTATTGTGTCACATCCACCATTTACTTCCAAATTATTGAGCAGTGTTTCTCCAGCAGGACTAGTTGCTAAAGTATTAGTTTGCACCACGCAGTCATCTTTCACTTCAGAACGTTCCACACATTTTGGGCCAACGTTCTCCAAGGAAGTTGGAGGACAGAAAGCCAGAGAGAGATCTGTGAAAGCTTCTTCCTTTTGAGACATACTTTTGCAGTTCAAACAGCATATAGTAGTCTTCAATTTTCCTCCAAACATCTTCTCTATCAGAGTTCTTTCTTCACTTCCCATACAAGGTGCTTCAGCAAATACCTGTGCTTTATGGACAGCTTCTTGTTTCTGGGACTCTTCATTCATTATACTTTCAGAAGTCTTTGTTGAAGACAATGCTTTCAAGGTTCTCTCCTCTTCATGCAGCCTGAAGACAAAGAAAAATAAATCCAAGTAGCTGTGCTATTTTCCAAACAAATATTGCTGCACCATTTCAGACTTTTTTCCAGTTATGCTTAAAAATATAGATGGTTAAGTGGCTAGAAGTGTCTTACATTAAAAAAAGCTATCTTTTTTTTTTTTTTTTTTTTTTTTAACACACAAAAAGCAAAACATAGGGGTCAGTACTATCCAAAACAGAGTATGAGAAGCATAAATGCATTTAATGTGGGTTTCATTACATATAACAGAACACAACAGATATACTGAGAGAACTGGCAAGTATTAAAAAACCTAACAAACAACTTTTTTATTATTTACCATTACATTATCTTAATAAATCAGTTCTCCCGTTGACTGGTTCTGTATGTCAGATTTTGTAAGAGAACAAGTAGCTATTTATCTAGTGCTAGACTATTTCCAAAGAAAAGAAAAGGTCAGGATTTTGTAGCCAAGAAAGTTAAGAAACTACAGCAAGAAAAACCAAACCAAAAAAGAAACCCAAGGGGGGGGTGGGTGGGGAAGAGAGCACTATTTCACTATTGAGATAAACTTCTCCAGAAATGGCATGTGTCATAAAGCAATATTACTTAAGCCACATCTCAGCAAGCCAAAATTAAAGAGGGCTACTAATAAATTTAGGTATTTTTATTTTATCTGTGCCACAGTTAATTTGCTTGTTTATTAAACTGGTTATAAATGCATGTACATCTCTTCAAGACTTATCTGACCTGTATGGAATATAGCTGCGTCCACCAACATGAAATTCCAGATGCATGACTAAACTGCTTTCAGCAACCACATTAATTTTACAACGGGACCGTGACTCTAACATAACACCCAAGTTTAGATTTGTAAAAATGGAACATTACTACCACTGTTATCTGCTTTAAATGATGTGGATACAAGATGGTATCCAGACTTTTCCACAGATTAAACCCATGAAAAGTGTTTCACAGACCATACAGAAAACCAGAGACAGCCAGGAATGAGGCCCAAAATTCCTGGTCCCCACTCATGCAGTGGAACTGTTGCATGACTGCTCCTAAGAGTTCAACATTATGTGCTAAGACTGTAGATTCATTCCCATTAATGGCACAATAACTGTACCTGTCTAGCAGGAATCTGAGATATTCTGAGCAATCCTGCTGGGATCGAGGGGTGAACCATGGTGGTCTGGAAGCCTCAAAGAAAATTCTAGGAGCATATGCCTCCCTCTGTTCACGTAAGAGAGGGACAGACAAGGTTACATAAGAACTACTTAAAAAATTGGTTATATTATTTTATATTGACCACTGAACTTTGGACTACATTATTTTAGAGGAACTGTATGAAACACATGGCACACAAACATTTAAACCACTTAATCATAGGAAGAGAGCCATTAATTTTGTAGTAATCACTTCTAGTACAAAGATAGAAGTAGTGGATCCTGCAGGCAAATATTAAATGTGTAGTAAGTATAAACCAGATGTTATGCATAATAGCAGTTACTGTTCTTGCTGGCAAGCTTAAAAAAAAGCTTTCTTTCTTCAGAACACCACCAGTATTTCATAAGTACCAATTTATTTTTAAGGTGATCCAGCTTCATCCCCTTCACAATAAGTTTATTGTTATTAATCAAAGAACAAAAGTGTCTTATGTCTTTCTAGCACTAGCAAAATATTCTAAACATTTAACAAAGTTCACTTTAGAATTTGAACTACAATAAAGTTTAGTGTAAAAGTCACTGCAGAAAGTCACAGTTTACCCTAGAAAGTTAAAGTCAGCTTGTATATCAAGTCAGGTCTTATTTGGATTTTTTCATTTTGGCTTCTCAAAGAAAACCTGTTACTACCCATTTATAAAAACACCACAATACCAAGATGTTCCACTTATGAAATATAGCTTTCTCTAAGTCCATCCACACCATCTGAACATTTGGAGGCAGACTCATTCCCCTACAAATCTATCATATTTATACTTTTAATATACTCAAGAGCACTCCCATAGCATCATGTTTGTTCCTAAATTTTGGTATATAGATCCAAGCTTAAAAAACAGCATATGAAAAACTGACATACCTGGGTATGAGCCAAAAATGCAAAAAGATGCTGTAATTTTCTCATTAGTGAATTACACCCATTTAGATTCAGAGATAAAACATGTCTTCTGAAACTGAAAAAAAAAAAAAAAAGGGGAGACATTAGTTTCCTTGCTAGATTTCTAACAACAATGCACTTATCATTCCAGCTCAGATAATTACTTCAATTTGAAAGAAAGCAAAACATGTAACACTTCCCTTCAATACCTGGATTCTGCTCTAGTGCAGATGCAAAACTACTGTACAGTAGGAACTAACACTGCAAAAAACCTATTTCTTTAAACATTTAAATGTGTAAGAACAGGCTATAGACAGACAAATTTTTTTTTCAATAGCTTCCAGCTAATAATAAAAGCATCACCGTAAACTTTTACAATACTGAAGGAAGCAAGGACAGTGAGGAAAAAGGGACTTGTCTTTTGACACTGGACAGAAGGATCAGGATTTTTAATGGCTAAAATTGCAGTTTCAGAGCTGGACTTTAACAAAGCAATCGGTAACTGAGTGCAAAGAAACCCACTCAGCTCTAGCAAGCTGAGAGATCCCAGGACATGTTAATATTCTGTGAAAGGCAAGAATGCAACAACTGCAATAGTTAATTTGCAATGAAAAGAGCTGTTAAAAAGGACTTACTCTGTAGCCATAAAAAGTGCCTGAATAACACTGTTCATGTAGCAAGTATTTCCTAGATTAATTAGACCTGTCTTCCCAGTCTCAGATTTTCCAGAAAGTCTAGATAAACAAGATGGCAAAGAACTGGATTGAGAAGTCCAGGCACTCTGACTGAGAATCAACTTAATCTTGTCTTCAGTGGGTTTGGGCATATCCTACAAGAGAAACATTTAACACACTTAATAGGTTTTTGTATTTGTTTTTATAATAGGTCCTGCCATTCAGCAGTCTTCTATCTTCACTTGCTCCCGTACTCTCCTTCAGGATCTTGCTATCCCTGACAGCCTAGAAGATACAACCCCCCCCAAGCCCCCTCCTTCAAAGCTTTCTTTACTCAACTCTCAAATTGCAGGAATAAGGGGCTGGTGGTAACCTTTGACCTGCATATTCACAGAATCCTTTTCTGCCACCAGAAACTACCTCTCAAATTTCAAGCTTTAATAGACCCCTAAAGCATCCTGTATTCTGCCAGAAATACATTCCTGCTCTGTCAAATCAAAATGTAAGAATGAAAGAATAAAGTCTAGAATACCTGGAATTAAATTGATAGGGGCTTTTTAAGCATCAAAACATTTAACTGCAATACTACTGCTATAAAATCAAGGCAGTAACCCGAGTGGGTAATTCCCGAGTGGGGTTTTTTTGTTTTGTGGGGTTTTTTCAATTTTATTTTATTTGTTTTGGGGGTTGTTTTTGTGGTTTTTTTAAATTTACTTTTTATTTTAAGTGCATTATGCACCTAAATATTTATCTAAAAGCACCAAATTTTGCTTTGAAACAGCATAGGCCAGCATCCTTTACCCACAGAGGCATGCAATACTGACTGCAGTATTAAGATGCAGTGCTTAATAATGGTGTTTTGGAGCTAGCCAAAGATTAACACCATGCCAAGTACTCCTCAGAACCTACTTCTCTTCAATACTATCAGTACTCTGAACTTACAGTTGAAGAGTTACAGTTTCTAGCTTGGGCTGAAATGAAATGCCTAGAATAAACCTCACAAAAGTATATTAATAGTTACATGACGCTTAAGAAATTAGACTGTACTTTTAATAAAGGATCTCATTTCAGGCTTTTCTTAAAGCCTGCTATAATCATATCATGGACACTCAGGACAATTTTTCTAGCATATTCCAAACACAGTCAGAATTGACATTAGGTTATGTGGTTAGCTTTTTTCTCCTAGCGGAAGTTCTAAAGAATTTAGATATATGGGATTATAGCTTTCATATTTGGGAAAACAACACAAAAACATTTCACCCTCTTAACACTCCTAACATACCTTAACAGCTTCCAGAATGGGTTCATAGAGCTCTGGAAATCCTGAATAATGATACATCATACAGTGTATCAACTCAGTCAACTGCATCAGAAAGGCTGTACTGGAAGGTAAGCCATCTCTTTTGAAGGAGTGAACCAAACTGACCACATGTGGGACAATCTGAATGGGAAAACAAGCAAACAAAAAAGGGTGTTAATTGCATTTTTCCAGTTTTTTTGTTCTACAAACAACTTTACACATGCCAAATGACAGGGGACCTTTTGTTCTTAAATCAGAAGTGGTTGAGAAACAATGACTTGAAAAACATGCATTATTCTTTACTCATGACAATTTTCAAACAGCACAGTTAATTATTCAATGCTCTCTTTAGCTCACATATCAAGTTTTGGAACTTTAGGAACTTAGAAAATGCATGTTAAGATTTTAAACGGTCAAGTGTCCAAAGTACTCACCTTAAGGATATTAACAGCAAACATTTTGCTTTTGTGCCACCACTAACAGTGAAGTATCCTGTTCTAATTTCACGGATATAGTTTTAAAAACAAACCTCTCGATTTTCCTTAAACAGAATCTAATGCTTGAGATCTGAAGCCAATGAATGCATTCATGCTATTTCAGTTTACAAGACAGAAACTGGCTCACAGCTCCACCTAGTGAGGGAGCTAGGCTCAATAAACCAAGACAGTAATTTACTATGAGCTAAAAAAGCTTACCACAGATGTGGTAACCTGTTTGCGAATTAGTTATTTTAAATTGGGTATAAATCAGAAATGTTTACTCCACCTCCTTCCCCTTCTTCAGTGCAGCTCTGTCTGTATTTTTAAATGCAGAAGACTTTTTTTCTATCAGTCTTAAAACATCAAGTAGAAAGTTATTTCAATGCAGTCCCAAAGACTAGGGACTTCTCACGGTGAACCAAAATATTTTAGTCACCTCTGTCAGTTTCCAAGTGATCAAAATGGATTAACTGTGAAAGAAGTGGATGGAATCACTTCTCATCACAAATTAGCTTACAAATTGTTTGGTAGTAAAGACATGAAATACAGAACAGAAATTATAAGAGTATCAATTTTAGGAAAGAATACCAATTACAAGAATTAATATACTTCAAAACAACAAAGTAAAAGGGGCCAGGTGCAGAATACTCATTTGCAACTTTCTCAAGTATCAGTTGTTCTCTAAGCATAAGGAATATTTTTACATCTTGAAGAAACAAACCCTACTCTTTTGGTAAGCAAGATATCCACTGTTTAAAAAGAAAAACACCAAGATTAAGTGTTCGATGTGCTACAGAGCCAATAGTGAAAGCTGCAATGAAAAGTTTCCCTCTTTCACTTTATAAATGTGGGTACATAGCAATGAGAAAGTAACTATTGAGCTCCAAAGAATGAGATTTGTATAAAGTAGATCTGAGATATGATAATTTTGCACAGACAAAGCACATGGGAAGAATAGAAAAAGTACAGGTTCTCAGCTTTCAAATTGAGAGCTAAATTCTTACTTACAGCATGCTGCATAATACTGAAAGTTACACTTTGAATACATACAGAAGTATAATTTCTGGCTTCAGGTTGAATTAAAATTTCATATGTCAGTAGATTTTAGAATTCCATAGCACACATCATGGTAAGTTCTACATCATAAGTGCAAGACAGTTTTTCTTCTATAAAAAACCCAAATCATTTATACTAATGATGCTCAAGCATAGGGAAAGGGAATGTTAACTCAAATGCATCGCAAAATAAATTCATTTATATTTATCAAATGTGCATTTAACCATTTTACGTTCAGACCATTTATTATAAAAAAGTAAACAAGTAGTTTAAGTGCAGGAAAATATTATAGGATACTAAATGACAGCAGCAGCTCAAAAATTATAGTGAAGAAGGTTGTTTAAAATGGAGGGAAAATAGTCACAATGAAGTCCTGAAGACAGATGTTTATGCAGTACTGCATGCAGCCTATGGTAGAAATTTCCCTTGTTAAAGCAAACGCCTATTTCTAGAATAAGTCTTCTCATATTTTACATTTTTCTCATGAATGTTTTGTCTCTCTCAGGAACAAAGAAGAAAAACAAGACAGTAAATATAGGAAATATTTATGTTTTGAGCATATTCAAGGCTACTTGGCTCTTTCATTTGTGACTCAACTTTCTATCCTAGGCCAAGATTAGGGCAGAGGAGGGAGGAGAGAGAAACTTCAGAATTCCATCATTAGAAAACAGTGTAACAGGCATAAGGCAATTAACCTGACACTAATCAAAGTGTCTGTGATCCCTTCAGGCCTAAAAGCCTTGGGGACAGCTTAGAGAAACAGTGTGCCAGGCTGTTACTACGGTCTGAAAGACCCATATTTCACCTAAAGGTTAAGCTAAACACTGAGTATGGGAACAGGGAAGGCACTGTACGTTTTGCTGTACTAATACAAACAGTCATCGTACCCTAGTATCTACCACTGTAACTGGTGAACTGCATTTTGAAGAGTGGCCGTTAAAAATAGTATCCTTCAGTTTGCCCATATGTACGTTGAAACATAGACAGCACAGCTTTCTTAAAGTGAAGTACGACTTGGTCTCATGCACATATCCAGGGTGACTAGGTTATACATAGCAGATAATTGGTTATCTGTTCTCCCCAAATAGTTGTGCTTAAAAGTTTACTTGTAGCCCAACTTTATCAGTAGACTTCACACCACGTAAAATGGATTTCCAGAAGTATATGGTCAAAGATAGAATGCGGTGCCCAGATACTACTGCCAGAAATACGTACATACCAGGCAGAACAATGCTCGTTTCCAGTTACAGATTAAGTGGTTGAACCTGGAAATTAGAAAGCCTAGTGGTCTGTGAACCACAGAAATCTGATTCTGGAACCTTGAAACAAAGAGGAAATTCAAGCGCATCAATTCTGTTACTCTTCAGACCCATGTTAGAAATCACACGTGAATGACATTTCAAAGAATTGAAAACCATTTATTTAGTAACTTACCAAATGAAAAGCTTCTGGAGAATGCTGAAAACTAAGTAACATGTGGGAAAGGACAGCAAGGGCACCAGGCCTCACTAGAGGAAACCAAAGTCGATTAAAGACCTAAAAAAACCCACATTTATTTCAGTAAATCTAGAAAGTGAAATTTCAGTAAAAATGTAAACAGATCTCCAAATCCACAACCATTTGAAACAGACAGAATCATTACATGCAACTGAAAGCTATAGATACATTTACATCATCTTTGCAGAATAATAAGATAATATCTGTTGCAATACAAAAGATGCTACGCAATTGCATAGCTATTACAAATTCCTCTCCCTCTCCTTCAATTTTGAATGTTCTTTTCCAACATACCAATTCAATCTTAAGCAGAGTGACATCAATGAGGATGGTAAATTTCTGGACTGCGGCCAGGCCTTTCAGCAGTGCAATCACCCATGTTTCCACATGCTGAGCCAGAGGCCAGGACAACCAGTCAATCATTCTGAAAGATTAATTAAAAATAAAACAAAACAAAAAAACCAATATGCCACTAATTTTTATCTCAACAAAAAGATTCTCTATATTACCAACATAGTTACACACTTGCAGAGAGACTCACAACAAGTAATGCAGAATGTTAGGCAAGTAGTAAAATAATTTTGATTATATCTCAAGTCATTTAACTCTGTAATTAATAATGATCTATTTAATACATTAAAAGTAAATACAATTCCCCCCCAAAATACGTAAGCATATAAAATTAAATATTGTGTATATTTTGTTACTTGTTATTTAACAGTATGAACCTGGTTTTATAGACATTAAGCTAACATTTTTATTTTGTGGCAAAAACTTACTATTGAAGGCGAAAGAGTGCCTGTACCTGGGAACCTCCCCTCCTGTGCCTTTTAGCCCAAACCAGACCAAAACCGACTATTAAGTTCAAATTTGAGAAGGAAGCTTCTTCAACTTGGAACTACATTCCTGGAAGCCAACTCAAATACTCTCAGTTAAAAAGGTAAAATCTGGTAATTTTAAATACATTGCAGCAGGTGTTAAGGATCTTATAATTGCTATCAGCAGCCTGGGGTCTACACATGCCCCGAAAGGAAGAATTTCACTACAGCTAAGAAAAAGGAAAAGTGAAGGGACTTTCTCTGTCTAGAAAATATAGTGAAATATCAGCAACGGAAGATAGGGGTATTCTACCCTTCTAAATTAATAGACATTTTACACTGATGATACTTAAGGCAGACAGGCAGATTAGTTGAAGCAGTTCTAAGACATATCTAAGATATCTAGGAGGATATCGTAAGGCAGTACCAGCTAAAACATGAAATTTAGGCTTTTTGAGCCTAAAAATTCTGAGCCTAAATTCTGAGTTTTTACTTTGCAATATTTTGGGTTTTCTTTAATTGTCCGCAAGATCCCCTTCTTCAAACCAGTTGAGGCACCACTAATTAAGTGGAAGGAAAAATTTTTCAGCATGAGGGTGGTCAGACCTTGAAACAAATTATACAGTAAGGCCAAGGCACCTCCACCCTTGCAGAAAGCTCTTGGCTCAATTGGACAAGGCCCTGAGCAACAATCTCTGACTTCAAAGCTGGCCCCGGTTTGAGCAGGCCTGGACCAGATGACTTCCAAAGGCTTCACTCAATCTACGTAACGCTATGCTTCTATTCTATACTACAATGAAAACAGGAACTTAGAAGTGTATTTCTTTACCTCTTTTCTGAAAAAGCTCCTCATAAAAATTAATTATTTTAAGAGGCTAAATTCTAGCACAGAACTGAACAGGTTACAAGTAACCAGTCTAATAAACAGTCACTATCACTACGAATAGGCATAGTCAGTGATTATCAATCTGAAGCAAAACTATCAGCCCCTGTGTTCTTCCTGGAGATTAAAAGAACTCCAAACAGACTGAAATCAGGGTTTCAGTCCTCAGATTCCAAACTAGAAAGAAACCCACGGTCTTTAGCAACACCAGACATGCATTCTGGGCATGCTGTATTACCATAAACAACCTAAAATATAATTTGGATCTGAAAAATGTATAGTACACACATTCTAAAATTTATGTATCTTAGAATTATGTACTATCCGCACATATAACATTCAGAAGTTTCTCTAAAATAAGGAATCATTAGGACTGCCTTTTTAACAATCAAGCACAGATCTTACTGGGTTTCTTCCATGTTACTACAAAAAAAAATTGGAAAAAAACATGGCAACATCATAATCATCACTGAGTTTACACAAAGCTCTCATTTCCTCAAGATGTTAAATTCAAACATGTTTATTCTGAGCACCCTTTCCATATACTTTCTAAAACGGGGAATTAAAAAAGTAGGCCAAAACTACTTTTGCTTGCAAAGAATTAACCTTAACCTAAAAATAAGCCCCAAACCTCATAGTCCTATCATCTTCAAATCTCCCCCCGCCCACCACCAGTTTGTAGGCTTGATATTTTTCAGCAGTGGCACAAACACCTGCACAGTGAATTTAAGCCTCATGACAATATATTTGGTTTTCTTAATTAACTTTTTAGACAAGTAAAGAATATTCTGTAGAGCCCTACATTAGGACCACTGATCTAAAGTATCTGATCACCATCTTTATACTATGTGTACTTTCAACCACACTGACTCACAAACTCCAAATGAAAAACAGTGCCTTGGGGGGGGGGAGGCGGACTGGGGCTCCCTATGTTCCATCCCATTGTGCTGGTTATATGATGGGCCACCCTCTGCCGTCTCTAGTCAGCATAATTAACTACTAAACTATTCAACATTGTTACTAATAGAACAACGACTATCATTTCAGTATGATTAACCTTGTAAAGAGAAGCCTCATTCTCTGTATAACTGATAAAGACAGAATTCCCATCCTTAAAAATCTGTTTCTGCTCTTAAAAGCAAAGTCAATGCTCTTAACAGCAGAAACAAAAGCCAGAAGAGGAAACAGAGTAAACTTGCAAACATGCTTGAGACTGTCCTAAAAAGCATCAAATCTGAGATCTGGTAGGTGAAGATTAGACATTTTGGTTACTAAATCCTCTCTACATTGCATTTACTTGGCTCCTGCTCTGTTGCAATAAATGACTGCATTTTTAATACAAAGGCAGATATTAATATGGGACATGATGATCATGAATAAAAGCACAGAGGATGTTTTTTGTGTTTGACCAGATTAAGAGAACCTTAAAGGCCTCAAGAGGACCTTCTGCCTCATATCACCCTGAAATGAGCAGGTCTGCTATCCATACATGTGCCTAACAAGGACAGTATTTCTGGTATCTCTGGATAGAAAAAAATTTATCTGTGCAACCTCAGACAGTAACTTCTCTCACAAAAATATCTTCTTAGCCACATCAGACAAAGAATCTGGCAGCTCAGGTGCAAATCCCTCAGATTAGAAAAAAACAAAACAACAATAGAAGATCCTCAGACTACCAGGCACTCCCCAAAAAAATTCACCATCTTTTACAATATTTTACATTTTTACCAACAGGGCAAGGGGCCTGGTCACATCTGGAGTTTTTCTTCACAAAACTTTCAGTTTCTCTTAACAAAGATACTTGGGTTAAAGTGCAAACAAGCATTATATGTGTCAGGATACTGAGTATATAGGCAGTCAACTTCCTCTGAGACCTCTGAAGTAGACCCTTAAAGTAGTCATATATCCCAGAAGATATTCAACAATTTTCTGCTCTTCCTCACTGATGCTTCAGGTAAGGTTTCATGAGACAGCTGAGCCAATTAAGAACAGCCCAATGATGCCAAAAAAGCAAGCACCCTTTCTTATACAAACCTGTGCCTAATATAACTCCCCACTGAACAGATTTAATTTATTAGTCTTCTAATTACAGATTATTTACTAATCTGTGTTCAACTTCAGACAGACTCCAGGGTGTCACGAAAGTTATCCTTAGGAAGTGAGCAACAAGGTCTCTAATTTGCAGTCACCAAAGCTCTGCTGACTCTCATCAGGAGACCTTGTGCCTGGAGTTCTGCATCTCCTGGGAATGATGCAAGCCTGATGACAACATTGTCATTTGGTGCTCCAGACATTCCAGCTGCATTATCCTCTTTACAATTACTCCTCTGGGCCAGAAGCGAGTAATTACCGCAAAGGGTTGCCAGAGGTAGAAAAAGAAACTAGATACAGTGTTGACATGACAGTATCTACAAACAAAAATAACAAGGAGTACCTAAAAAGTTAGTTCCATGGAACAGAACTAGAAGCTCTTAAAATCAAGTATTACTTTAAAGAATGAACAAGGCAAGTAAGATTGCACTGCCCTTTCAAAAACAAGAGGAAAAAACCCACCACACGACTAGTATTAAGAAAGAGCACTTATTTGATAATAACAGCTCCTATTGTACTCAAGGCTCAGCACTGCATTACTTCCCTAAGCAGAGGCATACAGAGAAGCCATTCTAGAGCTACAGCTATACGATCACATTGTGTTGAAGCAGGTAATACAACATAAATGTTAAAATTACACTAGCATGAAAATTAATCACCAGCACATTACTGGCAAGTTATTAGCATGCACATATCCTTCTGAATTTCCCAGCTTCGAATTTTAGACTGGGCACACAGCTTTGTTAAAATCTGTTCAGTCAAGCAGATTCTTTTGAAGTCCCTAAACAGTATGTCTTACCCCAAGTTACAATATTAATGCTGTTCCTTCTCATTAATTATGTTTTCAAATGAAATATGGCTTCTCAATTTAATGTAAATATGAGGAATATTTTCAGTGTGAAAAAACCTCAGTATTTCACCAAGATATGTAAGTGCTACACTACATGAATGCGTATTACACTACACTCAAATGGATGTAGTTAAAAAATAATATAGCAGACATTAAATTCTTTTAGTTGAAAGACTTTAAAAGAAGTTTTTTTTTTTAATTATACACGTTTCTAACAGCCTCCTGTTTAACTGCTTTACTCATTTTTCTACCCTTCAGTGCTCAATTAACAGCTTCTTCCATAGGCTTTAAGAAAAATAATTCGAGGTCTTCATCTTTTTCTGACTGTCATCTTTCTGCATCACTGTTATTCACATATCTGAAGATACTAACCAAGACTGCAGTCTGAAACACAGTCTGTTAACAGTGCTACTAATCTCAATGTTTACTCATGTTTAGATTAGCGACAAGAAGCATAATATGCAATTGTTTTCACATCATTCCTAGTCTTCTATTATTCAAAGAACATCCAAAAAACCTCTGGAGGCTTGAGCGAAGATGCAAATAGAGGCTGTCCCCTGTGATTCCTACTAAAAAGTCATGAAGATATCTAAGCAGAAAAAAACCTCAAAACTACACAGTAAAACTCTTTTCTAACCATCTCCTCTCTTCAGAGGAGGAAATGATGGGTAAGACAATCATGTGAGCGCCACTCTGCTTCTTGGAAAAGCAGAGGTTGATCTTC